TGGGTGGAAATATTCGAAAATCGCACAGGAACAGGGTCTATAGATTATGATGTACCAATGAATGATTATTATGCTGAATTATGGTAAGTTGAGTTATGGTTTGAAAGTTGAATTAATGTCAATGTATTGGTAATTTAGTGTTTAATGTGAAGTTAATGTCAATTTCATATTGAGTCAATGTTAATTTGATTTCGAGGTGGTTAAGTTAATTTTGAGTTGATGTTAATTTGATGTTGAGTTGATGTTGAATAATTATCGAGTTAATGTTAAGTTGATGTTATGTCAATGTTAGGTTAATTTTGAGTTGATGTTAAGTTGATGCTGAGTAAATATTAAGTTGATTTCAAATCAATGTTGAGTAACTGTTAAATTTATGTTAGGTGGATGTTGAGTTGATGTTGAGTTAATGTTGATTTGATGTTAAGTCAAAGTTGAATATATGTTAAGTTATTGTTAAGTTCACGTTCAACTAATGATGTCATTCGAATATTGAAGTGAAATTAAATAATAATTATCACCTTCATGTGATCGAATATGATTAGAAACATGATCCCTACTATGGTCTTATAAACACTCAGTGGTCGTGAGAAAAATAGTGTACAAAACTTGTTGGAAATGGCCTTTCCTGCGCTCGTTTCGTTTCCGTCCACTCTCGCGAAATATGTCACTTTCCACACTAGTCATGTAATATACTATTTATGCTTCGTGAACCGACTCGTGGTGTTGCTCGGCAACACAATTTCTTGAACAATGAAGCGAACAAATCATCTCGAATATTCAAAACATCGTGATAATACTCATGACAATGTACTCTTATATTCTCTTCCATGAAAAACAAAGATATACTTCACAAGGTTTTATTGTCGACGCCTAAGTACGATATATACTTACTAGGTATACTGACAATTGAATGTCATATTTCCGTTCAGTTTTCACAATACACATCAGCTTGGTCCAAAATTGACATTCTAATTCTTTTTGGCTGATAATAACTACAAGAACTAAGTTTCTTTTCCCTATACAATTATTTCCGAAAATGCGTATTGAGATAGATATACCTACTCCTTTGGAGGATGCTATGATAAATTTCAATTATCAAGAGTCATTAGATTCGTCTTTACGATAAATGCCAAAATATGTTTTTACGTCTAAAAACTAGAAGGTTCATGCATTGATAACAATATAAGTAGGTTAGTAGATAAGTTTCATTCAATCAGATTTTACATTTCGTTATTTTTGATAAGAGAGGCCTCCTATAAGCTTAGCTGGTATTGTGGGAGTTGGTGGGACATTCGCTCATCATACATTTCCATGTTGATTACTAACAAAGTGTAATTAAAATTATACCTAATCACTTATCGAAGAAACAAAGAGTGGAACAGAAATCCAGACAAAAATAGCAATTGCAATGTAATATGTGTAGTTATTCAAGGATTCATTTCAGTGACTCCTTTTTCAATTTTCCTACGTAATAGTGTGCGAAATACTTATTTCGCGCACTGCATATAAACTCTATGAGATTTTAGTTCTGTAACCTATAATATGTTTCTCAATCGAGCAAAAATCCAATAGGGAATAATTTATTTCCAAATGTTTGACAATCATTAAGAAATTTTGAAGTACCTTCACCTTTTCCAGTTGTATTTCAGAAAGCTCCAATTGTATTTCAGAATATAAAGACCTTGCTGAAATCACAGCCTGATGGGGAACCAACAACCTAGTTGAATACAACGTCACCAAAACTCAAGCCTGTATTTTCTCTAGAGGGGCGGAACTCAGTATGCCCGATATTGTAATGTCTGGCACCAACATCCCCACCAAGCCCACCATATCTATGCTCGGTATTTCCATCAGCAACACAATTTCATGGAATAATCATGTCAGATCCATCTCAAAAGCTGCTTCACAAAAACTCGGATTCTTGTTCCGTGCGAAAAGCTACTTCACACCTCAACAGCTTCTCATGATCTACAAAGCGCAGATACGGCCTGTTCTAGAATACTGTTCCCACATATGGGGTTCAGCACCAAAACATATATACGCTGATGCTCTTAGATTCCATCCAGAGAAGAGCCATTCGCCTGGTGGGTGACGTCACACTCACTCACTCCTTGACATCATTGGAACACCGTAGATAGGTCGGCGACCTTTCACTTTTCTATCGATACTTCCACGGGAAATGTTCTTCGGAAATCTCTGCTATGATCCCTTCACTAGCAATACCAGTCAGACGAACTAGACAAGCCCAGTCAGCACATCCTTTCGTTGTCAACCTCGAAAGATGTCGAACAGCACTTTATCAAAACTTCTTCATCCATAAAACGGCTAGGCTCTGGAATTCATTGCCTGAGGAAGTATTCCCAACAACATATTATCTCCAGAAGTTGAAAAAAAATTTAAATACCCACCTCCTATCCCATCTCCCTAGGAACGCACGATGTTCTTCGAATTTTATAGGGATTTTCTTTCGTGCGCTCCAAGCGATAACAAAAATTATTGAATTGAATTTCAGAAAGTGTCAATTGCATTTCAGAATAGTCACTTGTATTTCAGAAAGCGTCAATTTTATTTTAGAATACTAGAATAGTCATCCAATTGAATTGAATTTCAGAAAGTGTCATTTGTATTTCAGAAAATATCTTTTGAAATTCAAATACTAACCATTTTTTGATAAGCCCTTTCCAAAAAAAAAAGATACCAATTTATTCGCTATTGGATTGAAAATGAGAACAGGAAATCAATATTACAAGCGAAAATTCATTTATTCATATTTGTCAAATGTGCCACGGATCGCCATGGTGCATAATAGCTATCAGTTACTTTTTCCAAATCTTTTTTGAAAAACAAAACTTTCATTTAATGGCAGCGATATAAACCTTTAAGCATCAGACAGTGGAAGGTTCCTCATCTCCGTTAAATTTCAGTTAGCTTCTCTGTCAAAATAATTTATAATCTAAGTGGAAAGTTGAACTTGAGTGTTGTCAAAGAAATATCACAAAAATACCTGCATTATGGTTATCCATAGCACGCGAATAAATTAGTATCGTTATATTCGTCAAAAAAGGGTGATTTCGTGGAGTTCTCATTTTCAAATACCGTTAAGAAATGCCAAAGTTATGGTCGTAGGTTCCCACATTTTGTTCGATATTATCCCTCAGGCAGATAGATTGTCAAATTGGTGTATGAGAGTCTGAATCGCTATAATTCACAAGAAAGTCGTTCAGGTACTGTCGGTTCGAATCTGGCGTGGCTGAACATTTTTCATGAAAATGTGTGATACTTAGTTGTAATCGTGGCAGCACGTCGGCGCCCTAGAAGTATAGTTCGGAATTCACTATGAGCTGTAGGTTTCGCTTTTTCTAACCCCGCACAAGTTTCGACTTCTGGGGAATCGATGCCCAACTTCGAAGTAGCGATTTTCAATTTTCCCAAAAAGACAGACTAAGTTTAAAAATAACAACATCTCACATGCTTGAGATATTTATGAAAAACTAAAGATATGTCTTGAAGAAATATTGCGTAGAAGCACAATTTGATGAGTATCATAACCGCATAATCACCTATTGCTGATCTTTCCAACCCCCTGAATATTTTTGAATGATGGAAATTGGAAAATTTGGAATATATAATAAATGTGAGTCAGAAATAGATATACAAACTTCTGATTATTCCTGATTTCACACGTTGGTCGGTATAATTCTGACTCACCCTCTATAGTGTATACGCAGTAAAAACTGCCCAAACGATGAAATGTCCCCAAATTCCGGTTATAAATTTATTGTTAGTGTATTTTATTTGTTGAAGCAACTGTGTTATCACAATTTTTCGTATTTTCAAGGATTTTTTTTTTTAAATCTCATCGTTTTTGAAAGTTCCACAGTGTTCAAAACCTTCAAGTCTATTACCATCTTTCGTATTCTGGGCGCCTTGTAGCGACGACCATGTTGTATTTTGTTCGAGTTGTGTGTTGTTTATCTTTCCAGACCAGACGGAGTGTAAATATTCCGGGCAAGTACACAAACTTGAGGTGAAAGGGTAGGTAAATGAGTTATAAAAGTCCAGACAGGACTTTGTACCTAATCATTCACTGAGAGGGGTCAGAGAATTCCTATTTATACATGTAATATACTCACTTTTGTCTTTGCGTTAACCCATCAAATATGGCCAAATTGAAAATAGCAGAAACCTGTGTTACAAAGTGAATAATCTGCTGGAAGACAGCGAATTTTTATTTCATGAAACTTTTCACCCAGAGCCGCGTCGATAATTGACTGTTCATAATAGAAGTTGGTGAACAGGTTCACATATAATTTTTTCCGGGGAAATCATGAGGGGTTTTTATACTTGCTGTCATTCATTTCTAGTTCTGAGTTGTTGATTCTCCAATTTTAAACTACAGATTTTCACATCATTCCTGGAATACGGAAGCGTTTGAATTCTCTCATTTTTGTAATACTTTTTCCGAACACTTGGTGTATAATGACAGAAAAACTCCCGACCAGTTTTGAACGGAAAATCTTGAACAGAAAGATCTTCCAAGCACTGTATTCCGATTGAAAATCCATTCATTTTCTAAAGAGATATCGCAGTTTGGAAATTGTCAAATATTTCAGTGGTCCACTTGTTTCTTTGAGCACTTTAGCTATCGGTAAAATAGTCAATGTTGAATTTATAGTACAAGAATGTTGTTGTTGCAGTTCAATCGATCAGTAAAAAGTCGATTTATTTCTCTCCTCCAAACCTTTTTCAATACAAATTAACACTAACAAGCTAGTGAATTTTCCTTTCAGGCTCTCTGATAGGAAATTTCTTTAAACGCGGTGATATTTTGGGACATCTGATTTGTCCTTACTACACGTATATCGAAATAGTATTGATATTTTCATTTTATATTGGAAGAAATCCTAGCGGTGCCCGATGATATAAATTACTTTTCGGTCACCTTTTTAGGCTTGATATGATTAACTTTTATATAAGGTAGGCAAAATACAATTTCTTACCTCTGGAGTGACGAAGTAACTTGGACTTTTTTCTATGGTGATTTGTCCAGGATATGAGCGTGGCATTTGCATTCTGTACCACTCTAGTCCTTTGTAATAATTATCGTCTCTGTCAAAGAAATGTACTTCGCCAGCAGCCTTCTGAATCATCGGATGCAGATACAACATTTCTAGCAAAGCCCTGGTTCCACACTTCCTGACACCCATTATGATGGCCTGCAATCAGAACTGATAGTTATTCATGCATCAAGTGTATTGAATAGGAGAACAGGTAACCGTGTGGTAGAAGTGTTAGTATTCTAATCGCGATGGAATGCCGGTCGTGGGTTCTAATCCAAACAACTGCAGATATTTTTCTGATCGCTCAAAAAAGTGTTTGGGGTCACGTACTTTGGAAGGTGAGGCCCCCATCATCCCTTGCTCGCACAAGTCTCTTTGAGACTTTTGAGGGGTGGGTCGTAAGGGGGCAATCGATTGACAAATAGAATTTTATAACAATTTTAGAACAGTTCTAGACAATTCGAGAATAATTTCAGAAACATATCAAAGCAATTTCAGAATAATTTTTGAACAATTCGAGATCCTTACCCGTGGAGGAAATATTCAGCCCGAAGGCTTTTGGTCCGAGAGCAAAGATCACCCAACTACCAAATGCGAAATACTCGATCTTGCTTTTAATGTTCGATGGCTCATAATCTGTTAGCACAAATAAAACCTCCGCATAAACGGAGAAAAATATATCGTTGATTTCACACTTTACCCTTCGACCTTTACAATTCACGGAGAAGGGTAAAAACATTTTTCTACAAGCGTGCGTGATTCACCCTATACCCGCACGAAACTTAGTTTGGGAAGTGTCATTTTCCCGCAGTAATGCGGAAAAAGTGTTCCCACACTAGTGCGGGTAAAACATTCATATAATATTTTCTCAAAATATGAGTGGTGGGTGACAAAAAATGAAAATGTTTTTTTTGTTGCAGTATTCATTGAGTTTGTACAAAATCATCCATCAAATTGCACCATCAATTGTGATAGTGAAGAAATGCTGAAAAATGATAATTGATTGTTATATTAATCTCCCTATAGCCTCCAATTGATCTGATGTGGAAAACAATTGTTGTCATGTCAATCAAAACACAAATTAGTTATAGCGAACTCCATTGGCAGGAACTGGTGGAGTGATTCTGCATTCAATGTATATGTTTCCTTCTTACTGGCATGTATTAAACAGAGGTGAATATACACAGGTGAAGAAAGACGCCATCAGTTCCTGCCAATGGAATTCACTATTAGTGTAATTCTCAGAGTGACAGACAGAGCGTTACTGTAATTTTAGATTCAGTGGAATTGCGATGAAAAACTTCCAGCTACAGATGCGATACAGATGAGTTATTGCCAACGAAGTTTTAAGAAAGGTAGGAGAAGCACTACACGGCATTTATTGAATGGTGTAATAGTAAAAAAGTTGGAACATCAAATGAAGAAGAAGTATCTTTGGCTCATTTCCTAGAAATGTCTGAGACCTAGAGGCCAAACACCATGGGCATGCTGGATTCCGCATTAAGCTTAACTACATAATGCTTCAAACGGTACACTCGATTATATTAGATTTAGAATGGGGCCTTCGGGCTATCTGCCTCCACACCGCGACCTTTTCAGATCTATTGTGTCTGCCCTCAAAATCGATTAGAGTTCTTCGGCTAGCCCCGTCTTCTCTATGAGACTCCATAGGCTAGCTTTCAGATCCCCTGTGTATCTCTGGGCTTCTGGTTTTTCCTCACCCAGCGTAAGGAACCTTAGTCTTGACAAGCCCTCACAGTGGCAAAGTATGTGTACTGCTGTTTCCTCCTCTTCCTGACAGAACCTGCACAGCAGTTCTTCAGTCAGACCTATCGTACTCATGTGTTTGTTGAGCCTACAATGCCCTGTGAGAAGTCCTACTAGTATTCTAGTTGAACTTCGTTTCTGGCTTAGTAGATATTCTGTGAATGTTGGTGATGGTTTTTTAATAAACTCTTTTGCCTGTCTCATTCCTGGCGATTTGTTCCACCATTCTTGAGATTTGGTTTGCATCCATGATTCGATACAAGTCTTTTGTATAGCTTTCGCAATACCACAGAAGGGTTCTGGGCCATTCAGAGCTTTGTTTGCTCCTGCTCGGGCAAGTGAGTCTGCCTCTTCATTGCCCTCGTACCCTGTATGTGCTGGTACCCATGCTAGAGTCAGTCTGTTCTGACTGCCCAGTGCATTTAGGGTTTCTAAGCAGTCCCATACTAGTTTTGAGTTAACTTGCATAGAGTTGACTGCTTTGATTGCCGCCTGGCTATCTGAATAGATTGCAATGGTTTTGCCTTTAAACTCTTGCCTTATCAATTCTTTCACGCAATGATGTATTGCAATAATTTCTGCCTGAAACACCGTCGCGTATTTACCTAAGCTCAGTGAGATTCTTGTCTTTGGCTTGGCCCCATAAATACCAGCTCCTGATCCAAACTCAGTTTTGGAGCCGTCCGTATAGACAGCAATGTCTGCATTGATAGGAGGTCCTTCCTTCCATGCCTCTCTGTCCGTTATACTTATTTTAAAAGTTTTTTCAAAGCTATATTTTGGAATTATGCCATCCGTTGGCATTCCCATGATGGGGTCGCTTTCCAACTCTTCATATAGCTTTCTATAGTCTTTACCGTGCGCGTTGCTTATGGGTGCTTGACCCCTTGACAATCTACTCACGACTGCTCTGGCTTCGCCTTGAATATATATTTGTAGTGGTGGTAGGTTCAAGAGGACCTCTAAAGCGGCTGTTGGAGTGGTTTTCATTGCACCAGTGGCACTCAGGCAAACTTGCCTTTGAATAGCACTGAGCCTTCGAATAGATAGATATATCATCAATTATCAGAAGATAGGGAATATATCACTATTATTAGTTGTTCCTTTTTGCAGGAATAATTGATTGAACAATCAATCAATTTCCTACGCTTGTAGAAAAAATATTGTTACTAACTCATGCGGAAAGTGTCTTTTTCTACAAACGCTTGACAAAGTAGCCTTTGACGCTTTCAAATTCCAGCACAAAGTTGACGTTTTCCCAGAAATGTCATTCTCTGACAGCATTTGCGCTCGTGGGCGGAAATATTGAAAAAACGCTCGCACATCTCTGTAACCTATACTTATCTATTCTTGAAATCCCCCAATTCTTTCATGATGGAAAATAGTGACAGTGAATCATCAATTAGACCTCCCGATATAGCAGAAAGCACAAGAATTTGAATCTCTTACCGGAGAAATCAAGGAAGAAATATGAATTACAATATGATACATTCATGAATTGGTGCCACTCCGAGATGGTGAATATGTAATCAGAAAACGTTTTACTGGCTCATTTTGGTAAAAAATCAAAGTCTTTGAAGTCATCAACTCATTGCTCTATATATACGATGGTACGTATATATGCTTGAATGTTAAAAATAATATCGGAATCAATAAGTATCTGAAACTTTGTCTGCATTTCTCAAGAAACAATCTATCGGATATAAAGCAAGAAAAATCCAAAACATTCACCGCTGAAGATATAAACCAACAAATTTCTACAAGAAGCATATCTGCTGAAAACGATGAATAATACTTTATATTTAAACTCTTTGCTGTCATCAGAAAGACAGTGTATCTTTATTTTATTGCATCAATGAGTAATGTTCAATTTGATTGCAGAGTTTATCGTACTATGGCTCAGAGATCTGAAGCTCAGGTTGCCACGTTGGTGGTCCAGTTTCAATTCTCGGTAGGCCCGACATTTTTTTTTCTGGCTTGTCAGTTATTAACATTTTTCTTTTTTTGTTTCCTTTGGACATATAGGATAATATGGATAAGAACTTTTTCAACTATTTCAATCGCTCCGCTCCGCATCGCGCGGTAACTTTCTTTGTCGAGCAGCAATCTATCACTTTGCGCTCTAAATACACAAATAGCTATTCCCGCACTCGACTGCTTGCCCAAACTCCGCTTCGAGTCGTTTGGGACTACTACGACATTCGCGTGCGGGAAATTATCACTTTCCGCACTTGTTAGAAGAATTACTATTTCGTGACATATTCTTGATATGGGAAAATATTCAGGTATTGACCAATCTGGTAACACAGATTAGTATCTGATTGAGTTCAATTATGAAACTGACAAAAATCTGAATATTTTTGATTATTTATATCTGACAAAGTGTAGTCGAAGTAGAGATCAACCCATCTTAGTAAGGGTAATTCCCCCTTGAAACCAGAGCTACGCCGTACATGCGCATACAAATTTGGTTCTGACGGTATAGGTTTAGGTTTCGTATCTAGAAGTTGAGTGATCTGTGATCTGGGACCAAGGGATGAATGTTACTCGATGAGCGTTTGGATCTAGTATAAAGTGATGCCCGATAGTATATCCGGTTAGGTTGTTATAATAGCGACCCTTTTATCAAATAATTTACAAATACTATGTAGTCATCAAGTTTTCTTTCCTGAGGTTTTAAAAAAATCCGAAGATATAAATTGGGTGAGTATATTGGAAAAAAATATTGTTTGACTTGTTAAGTTGTTGTTTGTTGAGTTGTTGTTCATACTGGTATGGATTTTTTCCAGATTAATAATTCCGTTCTAGCTTCTGCTTCATTACAATGAGCGGGCGATATGGAAATATCGCACTATAATATATAGAAGAATCTCATTTCTCAAGAACTTCTATTCCTGAAATTAGACGAAGGAATCTCTTCTTGATTATTCCAGCCTCTGTTAATCCACACATCAGTGTTCATATTGTTGAAAAAAGCATTTATACCGGTGTGAACTCAGTTGGGAGTGTTGAATGATAAAAAAACAAACCTCATTTACTGTGAAGAAAGCGAGGTATAAAGTTGATATTATCGAAAAATCAAAAAGGTTTTTTTGGCAATATCGAAAATTGAACTGCTTCAACCATATTTAGAAACCTTCAGCAACTTTGCAATATAACCACGAATTCCTTTGTCTATGAAAATAGTATTTGTGTGAAGAGGAATAATTTTCGATAATTTTCAGGCGATGCCCTATCCTTGGAAATGATTCTTATATGAATTGATTTCAAATGGACGATCAATTTACAGAGTTGAATCGATATGTAACTGATGTTAGTATTTCAATATCACATTATCGATATCCTAGGTCAATAAAACAATGAAAATGAAACTGATTTCATAATGTGATTTCTCAATTCTTTTTCACTTAATTCAACTGGATACCTCGTTTCCTGAACAGTGTTATGAATATTCTTCCTCAAACGAGGTTGGTTTTTGTATTATTCGAGATACTTCGACGGCCGCAAAGAAGTTCTTCTTCTACACTTTCTCAGTTGAATGTCGAAATGCGTCAATTCAATTTTGGAAAGCGTCAATTGTATTTCAGAATAGTCATTTGTTTTTCAGAATAATCAATTCGATTTCAGAAGGCGTCAATTGTATTTCAGAATAGTCAATTGAGTTTCAAAAAGTGTCATTTTCGATTCACAAAATATCAATTGACGATTTCTGGAACTCAATTAACAATCCTGAAATTCAATTGATACATTTTCTGAAATTCAATCAATTATTCTGAAATACAATTGACTCTTTCTGAATTTGAGTTGACTTTTCTGAAATACAATTAACGCCTTCTGAAATTCAATTAACTCTTAGGAAATACAATTCATACTTTCTAAAAGGCAAGTGACTGTTCTGGAATACAATTGACACTTTCTGAAATTGAATTGACGCTTTCTAAAATACATCTGGAAAAGCTGTAGTATAATCAGGTATAACACGATCATGGTACACCAAACCATTTTGATGAACTTAATTTGCTGATAAATCAAGAAATCAGGCATTTTTGATAGGATTGAAATTGTTTTAGCGTTAGCCCTGTCCATATGAGTACATCAGACTCGATCAGAATAGTCATAGCACACTGAGATGGAAAATAAAAAATTTAATTAAAATCATTATTGAAGTTTGAAATGTCACTCATGTGATATCAGGAAATGATACAGAATTCGAAATTCCAATGATATACAGGGTGTTCCATTTGAAAAGCAAAACTTATCACCACTTCCGGTGAAACTGAAAGTGGAAAATGAAACATATTCATGTCAAAACATGAAGTTTATGAAATTGCTGGGTCATTACAAATTTCAATCACTAATATCTGAAATTAAACGAGAAAAATCAAGTGAACGATTCTTAATTTATTGACACTTTTCTCAATTATATTGCTGATTTCCATCCGTAATATAAATATTTCATTAAGCGAGGTGCATGGTTTTTCCCCTGTCTGTCATCCTTCGACGACCGCTCAGGAATTCTTGCTACAATATGTTAGCATTCACTTCAAGTTGAAACTTCATTGATAATCTGAAAATTCAATTGATGCACCCGACTGGTCATTCGGGCCTTTCCGAATAATTGGCTGCTAAGAAGCGGCTGCCAAGTTCACAACGGTATCATTTAAGTACAAGTTTTTCCCGAATTCACCTGTGGTAGTCTGCTAGCTGCTGACGGATACAACCTCCTTGACAGAAGCAGAATTGGAGGCCTCGGGTGTTCTACGTTCTTGGCGTGCAGGCTGTACAGGGCGCTGTCGTATATCAAATGGAATGTGAGGAAAAGAGACAGCAGCATAATTGTGAGTACTGTCAACGCCATCTTCGGCCTGGAGACGCCGACTACGACGACACAGTCGGATGGGTCGCCTTCCACTGATTTTATTGCTGCTCTTGGTAGCCATCTGGAAATGAATTGGGGTTTTCTGAGAACACATATAACAGCCTAGAGTTCTGTACGGGCCGCGTATTTCCGAACCCATGTGCAGTACAGAGCTCAGATGCTCTGGAATGCACGTGGGTTCGTAGTTCATTACCGCGGATATTGGCACTTCGTACCACCACGTACCACAGTACATTGCAGACTCGCGCTGGTGTATTTTGTACACCAGCGCCAAATTTCTTGCTACCATCGAACGTAGAATTTTTTTTGTGGCTCTAGACTCCCACCTGACCTATGTCTAACATGTCTGGGATGTGATAGATCAGTTTTGTGTGTGTGTTTGTACGTAAATTTTGACGCGTTGTCACGTTGGTGCCTAGAATACAATACACTGCGTGGGAAAAATAAAAATATTCAATATTGTATACAAACACGTTAGTTGTGTATTATGTGGACGCACTAAAAACAAAGTGACTTTTTTTTTTCAATTGCATTTCCTCGTTGGACCCAGCAATTGATCCACCGCCCCATGAGTCGAAACTTGTGCGGGGTTAGGAAAGCATAAGATTTTGTTTCACCTAAAAACAAGTCAAATTCATGGTGGTGTACAAAATACACCGCGCGGGAAAAAGTTCGAATTAATTAGCGCGAGTAATCAAGGGTTAAAACGAACGCTAACTAATGCTTTCCGTACTCCAGTGGAATTCAGAGCACGTGCAAAATAGATAACAATAATTTGTGAATAGATAGAAGAAAACTGATGGAGGTGCCTGATGGTCATTTTTTATGACCAACCACGGCTTTGAAACTAATTTTCGTCAAAAAAAATGAGTAATATTATAGTTCTCTGATTTTTGTGATGTAACTTATTCTCAGAAATGGAGGCCATGAAATGATATTCGTTCACCATCTGATAGAACTTCTTGGGTAGTATATTTTGAAAAAGGAATGAATTATTGAATCGTTACTCTAAAAGTAGCACGATTCTGAAAATTCTGAGGCACGGTAAAAAAACATGGATAATCCAACTGAGATATTTGTATTATTGTGAAGCTTCCGGTTTTTCTGAAAGTGACGTCTTCGTTATTAACAAACGGACACCCTGTATTTTTCGATATTCCTGAATTCTTGTCTCAATTTTGATTTGTATTCATATAATATCATACCCTATCTATACCTTAAATAAACCGTTTTTGAGTTATTCAACTACTTCTGGAATAAGTGGCAAATGCAGGCTATCCAGCATACGCTATTATCAAGTGAATTGAAATTTTCAGTGTAGTGATTAGATAGTGAATTTGAAGGTTGAACAGGTCACTAACCACACGACCACTGAATAATTTACAAGGTGCGCAGAAAAGTTGGACTTTTTTCAAATGGAAACCCTATTTTTCTTCTCCAAATTCGATTTTATGATAAAAAAAGGCCCCTGGTTGTAATTAACTTCCCTATACCCAAAACCCATAATTTTGGAGATATTCCATGAATTGTATTTTTCTGCATAATAAAATTTTGGATGTAGCTGTGCACCATATCTGTCAACACACTGTAAATTATTCAGTGGTTGTGATTATGGTCAGTATTCCGTTCAACCTTCAATATTGACGATCCAATAACTGCATCTCATTAAAAATTGCAATTCACATAAAAATGTCATATAGTTCAATATGTCACTTCTTATAGAGAAAATCGAACACTCAACTCCAAAATGAATTTGAATTAGGGTCATTGAAGAAACTCAAAAATCTTGTAAAAAAGAGGGTGCCTCTTTTATTTCTTATCGTGTATGTTCAATAGATGTAATTCAATGTTCGTCGAGGCATATAGCCAGGAAAGTAGTTGTTTTCTGTTGAATAGATCAATAAGGCAACAGCATAAGAATTAATGTCACCATTTATCTGACGTATCTCAGAACATGGTTAAATGGCGGCCTTGACGGCAGCCATGACAGCACGTTTGAAATAAGCTTTGGAATTCAACAATTTTGAACAACGCATACACACATTGTTTACATGAAAAACGAGTTGAAATTGTTGCAAATATCAATGTAGTTCCCTAACAACACAGTGGAGTAATTGATAAATGAATCATACAATGTCTGTTTTTTCTTGGAGCGCATGAGAAGGAATTCCTATGATGTTCGAAGAACATTCTGCGTACCTAGGACTCTTGGAGGTTGAAAGTTCTTGGGAATACTTTCATTGGCAAAGAATTCCAAAGCTTTGCCGTTCTATGAACGAACGAGTTTTTGGTAAAGTGATGTTCGATATATTTCAAGGTTGACAACGAAAGGATGTGCTGACTGGGCCTGTCTAGATCGTTTAGTTGGATTTGCAAGTGATGGTATGATAGCAGGGATTCCTCAAGAACATTTTCCGTGGAAGTATCTATAGAAAAGTGAAAGGTTGCCGACTTTTCTACGGTGTTCTAATGGAGTCAAAATATGAGTGAGTGTTGCATCCTCCTCTGCGTGAAATCTAAGCACCAGCATATAATAGGGTGCTGAACCACATATGTGAGAACAGTATACTAGAACTGGCTATATCTGTGCTTTGTAGATCAACTGTTGAGGTACAAAGCAGAATCGTATCGGGCATGATTATTCCATGAAAGAGTAATGCTGAAGAAAATACCAAGCATCGATATAGTGGTCTTGGTGAGAATGGTGGTACCAGACATTGTTATACCAGGCATAATGAGTTCCGCCTTCAGTTCCAGATTTGTATGAGTAATCACTCGAAAGTATATCTGGAATGTTTCACAATCTTTTCAAGTTATAGTAAGTCAGATGATTGATTCATCATCCTCTTCCCATTTTTGAGTATTTGGATAATGTTTGGTTACTTTGAATACTCGCATGAATCCATTATGATAAGAGATGATCAGCTTACGACTAAAAAATAAGTGATAGTAGGTTCTAGGGCCATTGGGATATAAAATTCTCCTGAAACTCCGAATACCGAGGTTGAAATAAATCATCAAATCGTAAATGATGCAGGAGATACATTTCGCCTTGGTTGCACCACGTATAAACTCGTATTCATTTTCGTTGCGATCTCTTTTCACATAGAATAATAGATTATTTCGACAGAACATCCTGAAAAGATCCAGTGAAGCGAAATGATACATCACCGAGTCCTCGCATCTTGGGTCACGAGCTAATAATTTGTCTTGGCCGCAGTAAGTGCTGCGACTGCTATAATGGCCCTCCAAAACCCTACAATATACCACGTGTACACGTACTAATCCATTACCGAGTGTCCCCAAGTCCCCGAACCATCAACTCAGGCTAGATTTGCGGTCGGCTTACGGGACAGTTATATCCTGCTCGTATTATAGCGGAATGAAGACATGTCAGTAGTGTCAGAGTATTGGGATGGACCAATTTATCGTTATTTCCAAATGAAGACGAGAAACTGTGGGAACCCGATTTGGGAAAATGATGAAATCTCATTATTCCATAGCAATGCCGTGCTTTTTTGCCGTGAAAACATGTAATTATTGTTCCTTAAGATTCGTTTGATTACCAATTCGAATCGAATTGTTACTCAGAACGTTACATGACAACAAACTTTTTCTGCCTATAAGCGGTACAAAGGACCCCGCACATTTAGTACGGAAAATGGCTTCTGGCTGATTTTTCTGAAAATTTGATATGTTTCAGATATAAGCGTCCTCATTACACAGTCCAATTTACAGATTGATCCTATGACCAGTTTTTGAGATACAGGGTAACAATCATTTGATTTTGGCTGTTTAGAATATTTTGCATTGATTTGATTTATGTGCTCCAAGTCGTGATGAATCTTCAGTAGAAATGAACGCTCTACGTCTAATTTCTACCTCATGAGTCCCTCTATTCGAATAGATAATAATATCACATACAGGGTATTGCATTCTATCATGACAAGTTAATATTCATGGTAATAGACAAATATTGAAAATATCATAATTTCGATTTTCACTCAATCACTGAAAACTTGACACACTATGGATCTTGATCATATGATTCATATGACTTTTTCTGATACAATGTCCGGTTTGCCATATATAGAGTGATGACAATTTGAAAGCTTAGAATTGATTTAACTCATGTATATACAAAATGGGATATATATCACGAATGGTTCATGACTGTTCATATAATAGATAGAGTGAAAAATAAAATGTCTCATGGAATACACCCACCAACCCCTTTAGTCACAACCACACCAACGCATATCATTTCAATAGTAGCTCCTACTTGTGATACCTCATTGAATAGCTCTGTGAAAATGCATTCCAGTGGTATTATTCATATCTAGGACTGGGTGGACTAACAAAGAATATTCATTATATATATATCAATCTGCTAGGCTATTGCTGAAATAAATAGTTATGTTCAGGTGATTCGGAATTGATTTGTGTACAGTAAGTAGATCGATGTAGCGAGAGAACACGGCAATGTACAAAATGTCTAGTTCCAGGTAAGCAAATGATTATGTTTTCATGAGATCAAAATTATGTTGAAAAATTTCACTAAGTATTGGAAATATTGGGGGTAGCCAATTTTCGAATATTATTCCAGTTGAAAGATACATTCAAACAAGAAGATGATTTGAGCCACAATTGTGAAACTGGAATTTTAAAACGTATCATGAATATTTTAGTTAAGGATTTCTAGAAAGAAAAATATAATCAGGGGGTTGGGGAAGGGGGGTATTTCATGAGACATTTCTTTCTACTGTATGTATTATATAATCAGTTATGAACCATTCGTAATATGTATCTCATTTTGTATATACATGATTTACATCAATGCTGAGCTTTTAAATTGTCATCACCCTATATATAATATATGGCAAACCGGACATTGCATCAATGGAAATCATATAAATCCTCATGTTGATGATCAAGATCTATAGTGTGTCAAGTAATTGACCGATACTAGCCGTTTGTTTTCAAGTTTTCAGTGATTGAGTATAAATCGAAATTCTGATATTTTCAATATTTGTCTATTCCCATGAATATTAACTTGTCATG